CATGAAACACCCTCAGTGGCTGTAGTTTTCTTTGTTGGGGTGAAGAAATCCTGCAGAAGTCAAGAAGGAAAGGATGGGGTTATGCAGTGGTTTTTCTCTGTTATGAGAATTCATTAAAGGCCACAGATTGCTCTCGAAAAAGAGGACCTGATAAAACATCAGCCAGTCATTGGCAAGTAGCAGGGATGATGGCCAGTCTGTCAGGTGGCAGTGCCAAAAGAACAGCTTTTGGGAATGACCAGCTAAGGGAAATAGCATAAATTAATGGAGAGTACTGAAAACACCAGAAAGTGCTGAAGAAAATCCCTGGAGTCAGGAGAAGAGCCATAACCAGTGCAATGAAAAGGTAGACTTCTGATAGACAAAACCATCTTGAGAAGGTGATCAACTTTCTCAGCAGTTGAATTCATCCATGCTGTGGCAATTCATTATAAATTGGTTTTAATACAGTGCTTTAATAATCACTGAGAACAGAAGTGGTGTTCCTTGCAGCCACTGGGATTGCTTCCTGTCATCTACTCATGTTCCAAATTAAAGCTTCTTCATGTTTTATCTCCCTCTTTTCCTGTGACTTTGTGAGATTTCCATATTTCCTCAGAACRTAGACAGTACAGTTTATTTTGCTGGGTTTCTGAAAGGGAGTTCAGGCTGATGTTTGTTTTCTGTAGGAACTTAGAGAAACTGAACTCCTCTGCCAGTCAGTGCTGGCCATAAGGAATAAATGTTTCTGTACTTGTTCATATTTAAGATTATCTGTATAAAGTACAGATTTAATTGCAGTTTTGATGTCCATGAATGAGCAATTGATTAATTAAATTGGAATAARCTGTTTATCATTTTGACAAAAATGCAGTTTGCTCTCCCTTCTTCAGCAGCTCTCCCCACTCACCACCAGCAATATTGTTCCAGGAAAACTTTTCATACTAAAAATGGAAAAACAAAAATAACAAAGCAGAGGCAGAAAGAAGTATTCTCAAAATTATCTTTTCTTTTTCTTAGAGAAATRCAATTAATGTAATAAAGATGATTTTAAGTCATCTGAGAGTTTTTACTAATACTTTAGAAAATATAACATTCTAAATTATTTTAACATTGTTAAATTAACAYTTAACATTGTAGTCTACTAATATGCAGTGAATTTTTGGCCATGGTTGTTAGACTGTAGAGTGCTGTGATTTTATGTTTTGGGGATCTTAGCAAAATAGTTTTCCTTACTAAATTCTGATTTAATTGTTTTAGTTAGTACCTCTTGATTTTTTTTTTTAAATATAGAATTTCTATATCCTGTTTTGTGTTTTGGAAAACTGATACAATATTCCAGAGTATTCTGGCAGAATAGAAACACCTTTTTTTTGTATGAGTTCATGGTTTTTTCTCTTTCTTATAAGGTTGAATAAGATTCATGTTGTGGTTTGCTGCTAAGAATGTATAATACCCCCATTTCTGGCTGACTTTCTGTTAAGTGATCAACATTGAGCAAATCTTCAGGTTTCAATTTAATTTGGTTGCATGTTATCTCAATCAGGCTGACAATCTTATTAAACTTTGTCAGAAGCACTTCATACTGGCATAATTCAGTACAACCCCTACCTTCTTAAGAAGAAAAATAGCTTTTCTTTCTTTCTGGYTTATTGACTCGTTTTTGTAATGGCATCAAAGGACATCTTAATTTACTTGTGGGATATATGACTAATAGAGTTGTATAATAGAATACCTTTCATCCACAATGAAAAACTACAGTATGAGACTTCATTGTTTTCTCTTAAAGAAATCATTATGTAATTTCAGTACTTACAGAGATGGAAGATGTTCATTAAAAATCTGAGTCTTGCTTCAAAGCTTCCAAGYCTCAAAGTCAAGTTAATATTTTCTGTAGAAGTGAAAAGTCAATAACATATAAAGCAGTTTGAATTGAATTTACATAATGTAAAATAAAACTRCTTCAGAGAAGTGCAGAGTTTTAAAAGCATATGAAAATCATATGGCTTTGTTTGGTGAAGCCTAGTAATATATTGTATTAAAATGCCCAGTAATCTCTGTCTTCTAATAGGTTTGTTGCATATCTGGACTGTCTTCAAGGGAATACCATTTTCTTATAAGCTCACATATTGTAAAAGGTTTCCTAATTACATTTATGCATTTCATGATTAGATATTTCATGGGTAAACAATGAATTTATGAARGGATGAATTATTCTTTGTGGAAGAAAGAACATGAAGAATACTTTGTTACCTTGCTGTCCCATAAATTTGTCAGAASAAAATGAAATTATTTAGGAGGAAGTAGCTGAGCTTAAGAAAACAGGCAAGGCTGTGATGCTTTTYTCATTCTTTAGCAATACCTAATTGTCTTTTGGAACTTCATAATGTACATCCAAACTTAGCAGCTGCTGTCTGGAATTTCAGATAGACCAGCACGATATTAAATCTAGTAACTTATGGCCTAACAACTTTTTAGTAGTTACTACATTAGCCTGATTTTTCTCTTGCTGGAGGACCTTGTTCTTAAATCACTATTTTGTTGAAATTTGATACCTAAGGCAGGCAAATGGAGGGTGTGCAATATCTTGGAACAGACACCCACTTCATCTGTGCATTGTTGTAGCAATGTGTGCTGGAGATGATAATGCAGAAGCACATTTCAAAAAGGATGAAAAGCAGCCCAAAGCAGCCTCAAACASTGTGTGAGGTGATGTTGAAACTTTATTCATAATAAAGACATTGAATCCTTTCTTGCACATTTTCTGCAGCAGTGGCTTGTGAATGGATTTAACAAAGGATTGAAGAATATTATTGATGGACTTGAACCTTCCTGCTCTGACAAGTAGGGTTCACTCTGGAACTCACCTTTTTTTTTTTTTTTTTTTTTTTTTTTTTTTTTGTCAGTCATTAGACAGATACATTTTCAACACTTTCAAAATCAAAATTATCTTATCTTCCTGTAATTTAGCAGTTTACTACAAACAAGGGAGCATCAACATAAAATAATTAGGAAGGTTTATCAGCCAGAGAAGTTTTTTTATGGGCTGGGACCTAACAAGTCATTCATGTGCTTTGCAGTGCAAGAAGGAAGAGTAGAGAAAGTACAAAAACGCAAGACATAAAAGAAAAATAAAATGGACTAAATATGAATTTAACCAGAAGGAAATGGTGCACCTGAAAAGAAAGCAAAAGAAATTGAGTTTAATTTAAAGGAAAAGGATCAGGAAAGATGTGAAAAACAATTTCCCGTTTGAAACTATAAAATGAAATGGGCAAAGTGTTCTTTGTACATGTAATGAGCAGAAGAATAATAGCTTAAACTCCATCAAGGATTATGTAGGTAACATAYACCTTCTGCAATTGTTTCTGTTGGATCTTGGTTGGACTGACTACACCCACAGTATCAGTTCTGTGTTGCTGCTGGAAGGCATTTTCAGTTAGGAATACTAAAATATAGTAATTCTCTTGGAAAACTTGGTGCTCTTTCTAGTAAATGCTGCAGAATTACTGCCAAAATTAAACAACTGATGGTAAAATTTAGCCCTGTCCTGCTCAACAGAGCAAAGCCTATCTCATATTTAAGTCTCACTTTAATCAACAAAGCAAGATTTCTGTGAAGGGTAAGTCTTATTCTGGGTTCCCTGATTCCACAAGAACTTTCCCCATAAATTAGAATATGAAGAGTCCATATTKCAACTGTATTAAATCCAGAGTGAAGCGTAAGTACAAWAAAAWAATTTTCCTTGCTTGAATGAATTTAGCATTAAATGTAGTGACAGTTTATTAGATACTTGGAAAACTACAGAACTGTTCAAATACTGTGTATATAATTCTGTTTGGAACACTTCTGTTTTGTGAGAGTACTTTACAGGGAATAATTACATAAAGTGTATTTAATTTGTGTAATTATTGAACAGTTCCTTAAAGGGTGGCAAATGCTCTACTCAGAGGACTTTACTTGATTGAGAGAGCCAAATTACTGAAAGATTGCCAATACTTCTCTCACTTGTTTATAATAAATTCAGAAAGATTGTTATACCATAGGAATTAAAATTTTAAATATKCATGGTTTTAAACACTGTATGTACTTTTGTGGTGGTTGAAGGTGCTAAGAAAAAAAAAAAAGTCAAGTTTGTATATAAAAGCCAGAAATGGCCTRTTTGGGAAACTGAATGATAAATATGATAACATATGGCATACAAGCAAAATACCTGGTTTTTTTTGGCAAAATTTCCAAGTCTGTATCGTAAGGTTGRATTAAGTTTCAGTCTCTGTAGGTAGCATGCATTCAATTATATTCTARTAGCAAATGTTTTCTCATTTCATACCGTTTCATTTGAATGTATGTTATATCAATATAATTACTATATTTTTTCATCTGTAAAACCTCTTGTGTATTATCGTGAGAATTTGTCATGACATCTTTCCAAGCTAACGTAGCACTGGTTCATCACCTTGTAATACGAGTGTAGGAGTGTGTTAGTAATTCAGTTTTGATAAAGGCTCTTTTCTTTTTTATTTTATTTGTCACTCTTCCAGATGGCAAATAAATGAATGGGGTTTTTTTTTGTGTGAATTATGTTGTTAAACTTCTGTTGTACAAAACATGAAAACCACTGATGTGTCCACAAAACCCTGTTTGTTCAACTGGATAATCTCCATATTCTAAGAAGGGAAATRAGAAAGCCTTCCTTGAGAGTTTTGAATATTATCAAAGTGCAATTTATATGCTCATGGAGATAGATAAACTTAATTCAGTGCTCAAGGAATGCATTTCTTTTTTCCTGCCCTTAATATAGGCAGGCAGAATGGCCTTCTTTTGTTTCATCTTCTCTTTTATGATTTTCCTGGAGATGACCCCCAGAACCAGCATATTCTTCAGAATGCCTGCTGGGCTGKCTTTTCTCAAGTTATAAAATGGAAAGAATAATTCTTTCAGCTKCAAAAGTGTTGAAAAGTATTGTTGATGTGATATTCAGTCGCTTTTATTTTATTTTGGTTATTTCTTTTCTTTTCCAGGATTACTTACTGCCATCTACCTTTCCAGAGTAAATGGCTTTATGTTGGAACAGAGAGAGGAAATACACACATTGTAAATATTGAGTCCTTCATTCTTTCTGGATATGTTATCATGTGGAACAAGGCAATAGAACTGTAAGTGCTGACTTTTTTCATTTGTGTGTGTGTGGTGATTTTCAGTTTCAAACATTTTCAAAAGTTTAGGTTTTAAGAAATACTTGGCTTTGCAAATATTACCAAATCTTTTGAAGCCTTTAATTTCAGTGAATGCGTTTGCAGTATTAACTGGTTTTTTTTTTTTTAACAGGACATTAGCAATCAGGTTTATGTTAGAGACCATGTAATTATATTTCATATAAAAGAAAAAAAAAAGAAAAGGTTTACTGTTTAAATAGAAGTTCCATGAAATAAAGAAAGTCTTTAATCACCAAAATTCAGATTTTKCTGTTTTTATGAGGAAAGTCTGATCACCATATCCTCATCCTATGAAGAGGATAATGGAGTATATTTGCCTTAAGATTCTACAGAGAACTTTCCTTCATTGTGCTGTGGAATCATTCTGATAAGAAGGGACAGTAGGTCTCTAGAATCAGCCTCCTGCTCAACACAGTGAGAATTTCAAGGTTAATTCAARCACATCAAAACCTGATGAWGTGATAAGAAAGSTAAWGAATGCTTATTAAATGGYAGTTCTCTAACAAGCTARGCCAGGWWCCTGTGGTGTGGGTATGAAAAGRAAAGAGACMTAAAAATCTGACTGGGATACATCTSTGCTTCCTGCAAGAAAAAACCTCAACAGAAATGAAAAAGTTTCTTCTGTGAAGTTCCAGTAAGAAGAACTTACGTGGAAAAGCTCAAAATAGTTCTTGTAATTTCTGAGGCATTTGCTTCAAGTTGTGAGGGATCTGTAACCTCTGATAATAAACTTAAATACACCACTCTTGGTGAACCAAGAAAACAATGTCTAAGAGTAGGGTTACAGCCCAGTTCTCAAAAATTCCTTCCTTTCTTTACCCTCTGTTATTATTATTCTACTATTCTGTCCCCCAGGTTGACAGAACTGGTGCCTTATTTTCTTTCTCCCCCTCTGCCYCCACCAAACTTCATAGGCACAGTTGTAAAAATCTGAGTTTAACTTCAAAAGACATAAAACCAAGGATTCAAAGAATAATCAGGATTCTGTCTGAAAGTAAATCTTTCATCCAGTTCTCAATTTTGAAAGGTTTGGTTGTTCTGCTYCTGTGAGACTGTTTAGTAGTTTTGGCTGTAAAAAAAGCACTGCTGGAAAACATGGTTTAATCAAAAACAGAATATGATCAATTGGATGAGTTTTTCAGGTGGCAAGTATCCTACTTGTTTTYTATTTCTCACTTTTGGTGACACTGGCATATTGGAAGGCTTTTTGAATCCTGTATTTGAAATGTATATTTACATTTTAAATGTTTAATGTTTACTACATGGAGTAGATAACATCTTTAAGTTTTTGGGAACAATATGTTCATTTTATGTGTATTTGTAATTTCCTTTCCTCCAAAAGTTTTTTATGGATTGAAAGCCTTCCTCCAAGTTTCACTTCCTAATTATTTCAAAATTCTTCTGAGTAAATTTTTTTTCAATTATTTTAATGGTCACAACAAACGTTTTTCATGAGAATAGAATACAGAAGCATGATGCCTCTCTTTCTATGTGGGAAATAAGGGCTGCTTTCTAACAAGCTTCAGTCCTGAGTTGGTGACATAGGCTAGATGTTGTGCAAGAAGCCCCTTCTCTAGAATTTTCAAGGAAGCAAGCAGCCTCTCCTAACTATCTTCTTTGTATTGTCTATGCAGGACCAAACCTAGATTTTCAAAATTGTCTTTTCCACAAGTTGTGMAAAAGGTAATGACAGCACAATAAATAAGACAGTAAAGATAAGCCTTGTCATYTCTAGTGCTTGGAGGTGCTGCATGGTTACCAAAATAGATTTTTCTAAAAAGCCATGCACTGTTTTGCTGCCAGCTGAGCACAAATATTCATTTATTGCTGCTTTTTGTTCTCCCAGTCTTAGAAGGGTAAATTGATCCACATAAACAGTGGGATTCTCAAAGTTCCACCCTCTCCATCCAATTTCATCATGTACTCCTCAATACRGACTGCAGGAAGTCACCCTTGCAAATATTTTGTGGGTGGACAGGGGATCCTTTGTGGCTCCAGATTAATTTCTCTGTATTAGAGTAATGGTGGGAGTAATGGTAATGTTTGCCATAGCAGCCACTTTTAGAGATGCTGTAGAACTGCTGAAGTTGAAACTGGGTGAGTCAGTAAAGTAATTTGAACTCTATCTGATCATAAACTATGATGTCTCTTCTYGTATTATTGCTTTTCTGCACGTAAAATGGAACTTAGATTAAGTTTAAAAGGAAATGTTATTAWCTTTAAGTGTACTTATGAGGATGAGTATTTGATTGTAAACTTTCCTTTGGAATGGTACTGATAAAAATGTTTGAGAGGATAGTTTTATTTTGTTCTGATTTTCGTTTTTTTTTAATTTTCACATTCTTTTCACACGTTTTTTGCATATTTTGCATATTTTAGTATAATAAAATAATAAAAAGATTCATCTTGTGAGGCTTCTCTAGAATTTTCTAGACTATCTTCCTGCTCACAGTAAGATTAGCTAAAAGGTCAGGTTGCTCAGGGATGTATAAATTCACAGGGCTTGTTGATGCTAAGTGCTCTCCAAGATGAAAGAAAATAGGAAAACATATTTAAGTGAAATCCAGGAAAATCTTCAACCTTACCATGAACAGTGGTAGGTGCTCATAACAATATCTTAAATTCTGATTTAATTGTAGCATTTCAGAGTGTGAGGTTATTTTGAAGATGTTACTATTCTCTATAAAGCTTGGAATGAGAGGGATTGCCTTTTGTGCAATCATATGCCTGTCAAACTTATTGACAAGAAAAGGCCARTAAAAGCCATTGCTCTGCTGCTTTATTCAATCTTCAGCTTAGATTGATGGTTTATAAATCAAATGTTAAGTGTGTCARGTTGTGTGTCATCTGCTCTAAGCATGAAGGAGTTGATCTCCACGCAATTCTTACCCACTTTCTAAAATTAAAAGTCTACCAACATAACCTCTCTTTCTTTTAATCCCCACCTTTCTTTTCTCTAATTTGTATCTACTTCTAATGAAATRTCCAAGTAATCCCCATCCTCAGAAAACAACCAATATTTTGAGTCAGTGAGGCCCATCAAATGATTGCAAGTGGTTTTTTTTGTAACAGTGAYTCTGTTGCAGTGAAAGACTGAGGTAAAGAGGTTTAGTAGCTTGAACAGTTGAAGGGGAAACAGGTTTAGATGTAATATTTTTAGACTTTGCATATGATGCAAGAAATCTAATCACCTTGTCTTGCATGGCTAATTTAAATTAGAAAGTTGGCTTTTGGTGCAGAGTGGGTTTTTTTGTGATTTTATTGCCTACTTTTGTATCTGAAAGATCTGTAGAGCACTATATTTTTGAGTGACAGTGGTTTTATGACCTATTTAGAAGCAYCTAGTAGAGATACATGTCAAAAAGATTATTGCAGTACCAATTTATCATAGGGATTATTGTCTTCTCTTGCAGGAGAGATCATTCAGTGAGCTTAAACAGTATCTAATGTTAGTGAGAAATCAAGGTGTGAACAGACTAATAATGCAAAGGAAACAGATTTGGGTTTTTTTTTATTATTTTCAGAACTCAGTCATAACTGATTCTGGAAATTACAGGAAAAAAWTCCTTCTTAAATCATGTGCATTGTCTGTGTCTCAGTGGACCTGTCTTTGAACAGAGCTGAGAAAAAAAACACAAGCATATGGGTACCAGTTCTTGTCTCAGTCATTTCTGTCATCTCATGCATTATCACCACTTCAGGCCACACTGCAGCATCTTCTCAGCTAAGAATGAATAAATCAAAACTTTTTCACTTGTCATTTCTCTGTCATGTAGCAGAGCTAGTCCTTTGCYAGAGGGGTTTGAGGCTCATGATACTGTTTGTTTTTCTGCTCTCTGATAAGCAAACAGTTTCTCTCTTTGCCTTCCAAATGTTTGGAAACAGCTCTGGAAAAGAAAAATAGTCAATGAGCCCAGCACGTCTCCATTTACTCCAGCTACAATGAGATCGATTTTCACAGCATGRTCATACATTTGGGAAGGTCATCTGGTGTTGGAAAGGAAAAGAAGATCTYAGTAKCTATCCACTGAACTCCAAAAATGAAAAATCTGCATTATAAGCCCCCAGTAAGATTCCTGTGTTTGAATACCCCACTATGTAATGAATCAATAACTGAAACTTGCCAAAAATTGTATCTCCTGTCTTAGTCCTTTCTTTGCCCATCTCAATTTCCTGAATGGGGAGGGAAAGCAGGAAAAGGAAAAGAAGAAAGCAGGAAAGGAAAAGAAGATCTTAGTATCTATCCACTGAACTCCAAAAATGAAAAATCTGCATTATAAGCCCCCAGTAAGATTCCTGTRTTTGAATACCCCACTATGTAATGAATGAATAACTGAAACTTTCCAAAAGTTGGTATCTCCTGTCTTAGTCCTTTCTTTGCCCATCCCCATTTCCTGAATGGGGAGGGAAAGCAGGAGAAGTAAGTCTGGAAGAATCTGTGTGTAGACCCAAATGGAGATATTACTATAAAGAAAGCACAGCTTTCAAGGCATCCTTCTCCGGCAAATTTCAGAAAGTGTGTCTAACACTCAGAGTTGCATGTTGAGCTTGAACTAATTCTTGCTTACTCCAACTCCCAGCTTTGAGCCACAGCCTATGAATAATGCATGTAACTTACTCATTCTCTTAAATTTCTCCATGGTTCTACCAATGAAAAGAAGGTYTTAAATTCCCTGGARCCCTGCACCTTTATGGAAAGTGGARCTGTGGAAGATGTCTGACTAYTGACACTACAGAAGTATCTGCTCATGCACGTGTTTTTTCAGCACTGCCACATTCAGTCAACTTCAACTCCACAGCAGTGACTAAATAGAGATGTTTTCTTGCTTTTTCCACTGTCCTAACTCCTTCTCTCACTTCCTAACAGCAGTTTTCTTCTCAGAAATCATGGCAATACTTCTACAATTGTTCAGGCTATTTTTTTTTTCAAAAGGAAAATT